GAGCAAAATGGACATCGCCAACAAACTCGGAGTGCTTGGGTATGGTTAGGAGGGCACTGACTTTTCTAGGCTGCCCTATCTATGTTTCCTGATAAAATACATGGGAAAATCCCATTAAAGGAAATTTCCACTTAGGGTAGGGTTAGGTCACCATGAACTCATAGAGCAAAATGGACATCGCCAACAAACTCGGAGTGCTTGGGTATGGTTAGGAGGGCACTGACTTTTCTAGGCTGCCCTATCTATCTTTCGTGGTAAAAGAGCTTCACTACTGGGCATCTTTTCCTTGGAGGAGCTGTGCATTTGAAAATTCATTTTTAGTCAGCTCTTCCTGTGTATTTGTGGAGTGTGGCATTTTTTTTGGGTGTGTGTCATTTAGTACTTATTGTCCATCCTATTTATTAGCACCAGGAAACCGCAGGGCAGAAGACTCTTTGCTTGCTGAAAGTCCCACCCTGGAGTCACTTGGGCAGTGAAGAGTGTGAGGAGGAGGAGGAGGAGGAGGAAGATACAGTAGGTCAATGCCCACCCTGGAGCAACAGTAGCAACTGGGACACATTCCGATAATCCAGAAATACCTCAGATTTCAGGCAGGACTTCCAGCATCTTCTAAGAAGCAGGGAAATAACCAAATTACAGATGGCACGTGAGCCTGAGAGATGGCATCTTTTCCAGGGCCTTCTGGTTAAATTTGTGGGATGAAGACAGGATTCCACTCTGGAGCTGCCTTTGTAGCTCTGTGTATGGGTAGATCACCTGCCCAGAAAAGAGCCAGATGGAGCTGGATGTCTCCAAATGCTGCAAGCCAAAGGAAGGGAAGGATCCAGTGGAAATGGGGGAACAAAGGGAAGGAGTGGCCACCCACATTTCATACCCTGAGAACCCCACACAGTTGCCCAAATGTTGTGCTATCCCGGAGACTCCAAGGCCCACCACTCTGAGGCCTCCAACAAAGCAAGGGAGAAGAGCGTCTTTTCTTTGCTTCCCTTTTACAAGGTCACCCTTGGCGGCTTGAATCAATGTTGATCTTGCCAAGGATAAAGCAGGCAGGCAGGCTGCTTTTCCTTCAAAGGGACTACAGACTTTCTTTTCCCCTCCCAGAGGCTGGAGTGGGATTTCATTGAGAACTTGAGGGCTGTGAGGAAATCACTGGATTATCTGGATGTGTTTCTGGTGTCGGTAGGTGGAGATGTGTGAAGAATACTAACTCACGGAGTGTGAGCGCACAACAGTTTGCCCTTTTTGTGGGTCTTGCACACTTCCACAATTTTCTTTTGTTCCCAGATTTGTAACCACAGACCAGCCCTCCTGAGGCTTCCGGGTGTGTTGGGAACGGGGTTCCAAAATTACTAGTCGTGTGTTTGAGAAGGGAACGCCAGTAGGTAGCCACCTGTCAGAGTGAAGATTGTGGGGAAACGTCAGGAGAGAAATCAGGCAGAATGTTTTCCTCCATGGGGAGAAACAGACCCGGATCCTTCCCAGGAGAGTCTCGTGCTGCCGAAGGAACATTTTGCTCTGCTGACTGCCCGCTCGCCTGCCTGTCACACCAGTTTGCCCCCTGGGTGCTCCTGAGAGAGAGGGAAGCGTGAGAGCGCAGAAGAAGTGTAAGGCCGGGCAGAAAGGAACTTCACAGGATCCCCAGGTCCTGCCATTCCACTTAGTCCTGTCCTATGAAGAGCACCCCGTGCCTGTTTCCTGACCTCTGTTGCCACTTTGCACCAAAGAAAATCAGGGTGCGGTTATTTTGAGTTTCTTTCTCGTGCTCCCTTTTCTCAGGAAATCAGGGTGCAGGTAGCACCTTTTTTGACTCCATAAATGAGGAGGGCTCTCCTCCCCTGGACTGCAAGAGCAGGAGGCGTTTGCCTTCCTCTGAGAAGGGCTCAGCTCCTTTGTCTCTTTTCCAGCCTCGAGAGAAGGGCAGGATGCGCTTCCATCGCCTGCAGAACGTGCAGATTGCGCTCGACTTCCTCAAACAGCGACAGGTAAGCCCTGTGCCCCCCCCAGGGGAGGAGACTGTGGTGCCTCCCCCCATTCATCACCATTAGTGTCCTGCAAAAGATGGGATTCCCTTTGCTTGTTGCACTTAAGTTGAGGGAGGGGAGAAGTTAACTGAGTTTGCCTTTTGACATGGAGCCACCTTACACGCTTAGTTGAGCTTGGGAATGAGGGCCTCACTTCTTCCCCTTTTTGTCCCCCAGCAGTGCTGTGAGGGATGCCAGGCTGAGAGAGAATGGCCATCTGAAGCTCCAGAGTGATAGGAAGGGATTCAGACCAGTCTCACTTCTAACTTGTCCACCATCACACCACCTGCCTACTACATCCACACCTCCCCAACCTAGGGACCCAGACAAAATAGTCACACTTCTGGATATTGTCAGTCTTCAAAACAAAATTAGAGGGGCCTGTTAGGCAAAGAAGGATGTATATATTGAGGAAATGAACATATAAATGCACCCAGAGACAGAAATATTGTTTGCAAAAATTGAGTAATTTGGAAAACCACACAGGAATATGGACCATTTGAGAATCCAGATTTAGTCATTACAAAAAAAATTGTTAGAAGATGCATGAACAAGAACAAATTGAGAGAGACGGAGAGGAGGCTTCCACTAAAGGTTGTGATCCTGGGGAGGAATGCAGGCCTGACTGCTTGGCAGGGATCTCTCCTTAAGCAAGCCAGCTGCCACTGCCTGAGAAAGCTGCCAGCATAGCCGGTCCATGCTACAGCCAGCCCTGACTAGGAGAGTCTGAGGAGATAACAACTTGTGCAGGCCGGTGGGGATCTGGGCCAATTTCAGAAAGTGTCACAGTAAATCTATCTGCTCACAGGTAGTCTCTGACATACAGCTGTAGTGGAGCCTGCCCATTACAGTTAGATGTCATGGTGGTTGTAAAATGGATTGGTCATGAGTCTGACCCACAGTGGCCTTTTAGTAAATGCAGGGGTTGTAAAGTTCATAAAGAGAATGCTGTAGTCATTAAGTGAGGAACTGCCCTAACTACAGCTGGGCTGCCGATTGCCAGAGGTTTGGCCGTGTTATTACAGGAGGGAGCCGGCCATTGGAACTTTGATTCCGTGTTGTAAGTCAAGGTCTGTCTGTATGGCCAAAGGCTCCTTGTCTCTCCAGGGAGAGATCCTGGACCTTCTGGGCCCTGCACTGCTGACTTTCCAGACAGACCCCTCAGCCGAGGGATGGGCTCGGAAGGCCTCTTGATGGACAGCAGAGTGAGGTGGAGCGAGGGATGTTCCAGGTTCCGTTCCAATCCGGGCCCAAGTTGCTTCCCCTCCCTGTTTGCCTCTTTGCAGCACGATCCAGGTGGGGAGGTTCTCACGAACACAAGACCCCATAAGCTTCTGGTTCAGATGTGTGAGAAATCTTGGCAAAACGTGTTGGGTGTGCTCTGTATACATGGGAGAGCATTATCTGGCTACGTGCAGCATATTTGTGTGAATCGCTCTATCTAAAAAGTATTTTACTTACAAGCGGTATCCTTCCCCCAGTTCCATTAAAATGAGGCATTGTGTTCTTTCCAATGGTTGGTTGTGTAGGATGTGGGTCCAGCACATGCAGGTTTGCATTCTATAAGGTCTGCAGGTTATTTCTTGGAAAGATAATCCTTGGGATGGAAATGGGATAAGAAATCTTTGTGACCTCCTTTGCATGCTGAGAGATACAGCAGAGATGAGCTCTTGGCTGTAGGGCCTGAATGTTTGAAAAGTGTCACAGTGGAAGCTTTGTAGGAACGTGACCATTTGGAGCATCTAAAGTATATTGTGAAATTAAAACTCATGTGCATAATGAACAATGAATATATTTCAGTATTTTACATGGCACAGCTGTCGGAGCGGTCCCTGTGGCTCTGCCTGATCTTCCTCTTTGGTCCCATTTCCAGGTGAAACTGGTGAACATTCGTAACGATGACATCACCGATGGGAACCCGAAACTCACCCTGGGTCTGATCTGGACGATTATCCTTCATTTCCAGGTAAGAGCCTGGCTTTGTTCTGGAGGGGAGGAGGAGGAGGAGGAGGCCTGAGGTGGATTCGCTGGCCAGTTAATCGCCTTTCCGGTCAGGGAGAATAAACAGCTTTCCCGTTGGTGGTTTCTGTGATTCACTCATTACATCTGCTTCTGTTAGGAGCTCCCAGATCATCCCTGAGGTGGTCGGGAAGGGACCTTTCCTCTAGGTGAAGTTGCCTGGCTGTGTGCGGTGGGTGAACAATGGGCATGCTGTGTTTTGGGGAAGGGGTGGCTGCAATCCCACATTGCAAAGTAATTACCTTTTTATTACCTTTAAAGGCTCAGAGAGGGACCTTTGATTCCATGTTGGCTCCTGGCAGCTTCCTGGATTAGCAGTTTTCTTGGCAAGGTTTTTCAGAAGTTGGTTTACCATTGCCTCCTTCCTAGGGCTGAGAGAGAGTGACTGGCCCAAGGTCTGGCTTCATGCCTAAGGCAGGACTAGAATCCAGGGTTTTCCAGTTTCTAGCCTCGTGTTTTAATCACTACACCAAACTGGCCTTTTAACAATAAGAAGCACACTGAATATCAAGGCAGAGATTAGTACTTAGATTGCTCCTAAACACGGAAAGATGCCTGAAAATCTGAGAGTCTCAAATAATTGGAGCAGAGTCTTGCTGCTCAGCGAAGAGTTGCGTGATTGTAAGTTTGCAGGCAGTTTCTTTCTCCCTGAATCCTCGTTAGCTAGAGCTGCAGTAGGAGATTTAACAGAATAACAGAAGAGATGACACCAGTCTCTATTTTTCATGAATTTCTTGGTGAGTTACAGCCTCAGAAGCCGTGGATCTCCGCCTAAAAACTCAAAGGAAGAGTAAAGGGCCCACCTCTTTCTTCTCCTCACCAGGCGTTGTTTGCGAGATCTTTCCATCCTGTCAAACATTTCCCTGGGTCGCCTTCTCTGCTACGGAAGGGGCAAGGGATGGAGAGACGGGTGGCTGGCAAGGAGCTTGGGCGAGCAGGGTGGACATTCTGGGTGCTCTCTCAGCTGGGTTATTTGCTTGAAACTTTTTCATTACCCAAGTAGGTAACATCATCAGTGCATCTGCAAGAAAACAACCCAGCTCAGAGAGCACCGGAACTCCACAGAGCAGCCCTGAGCTGGAGAGCTCTCTTCTGTTGGGACCTGCTTCCCAGGGGAGGGGAGGGGAGCTTCCTAAAGCCACAAGTGATTGAGATGCCAATTCTTTTCCAGTTAGGAAAAAAAAGGGTCTACCGAGGGCCAGAAGGGGATGCGGGGGGTGTGTGTGTGTCTTCATTGAGCGTAATAGAGTTGATATGTTGCCTTTCATGGGGTAAAATTAATTTTTTTTTGGAAAAAAATAAGTTTCAGTAGTATGATTTTTAATTGTTATTTTCTTTAAAACACCTGCCCCAATTGTACTGCTGAATTCCAGCCCCTCTTCATTCCTCTTGCATGGAGAACCCAGCTTTGGGCTTAAGAGGGGCTGAATCCTGACCCTGAGCTGGAACGTCATCAGGGCTAGCCCGGTGTGTTGCTGTAGGTCTTGCCTCCACCTGATGGACCGGTGGGGGGCGGGGGCTATTTAGAAATGCAAAAGGACCAGCATCAATGGACCTGAAAGAAATCCATTAACTTATTGTCTGCCAGATAATAGTTCTGTTTTAAAAACCACATTATGTTATTGCATTCAGAGGTTTATCCCACTGCCATCATTTCCTGAAGTGGCTCAGGAATTGGGTGGATTCTGCAGAAGCTGAGGTAGGCTCAGCCTTCATGGCCTCCTGTCGCGCCGTCTTGCATCTGCCAAAGGAGACCAGGTCTGAACCGAGCCAACACCAGTGTGCTATTCATCCCCCTGACCCCTCCTCCATTTCTGGCCAGGCAGGCACTAGATGGCACTGCTGCCTCAAGAACACGTGCAGGCGAAATGGGGAGGGGTCTGACTGCAGAGGAGCCCCTGTGAAGGTGCTCATGCCCAGAAGCTTCCTGTTGCTGCTGCTGCTGCTGTTTGGGCGGGGATGGAAAGAATAACTCAGCTAGGCTGGAGCAAAAGACACCTGGGGGGGGGGGGCTCCTCCCAATCCCTCATGTTTTCTGCAGATCCATAGGAGCTCCTTGAGAGCCATTTGGATTTACTGCTGCTGTTGAGGAGGGAGAAGGAAAGGACGGGCCCGATGCTTCCTTTCTCTTCCATTACAAAGGGCAACAATAATTTTCTCCTGAGCCGTCTCGAACAGGGTCCACCCTAACCATTTCAGCTGGTGCAGAATGTGCACTTCCAGAACAGCGCATGCTACGCCTCTGGTCCACGAGTTGTACTGGTTGCCAGTTTGATTCCAGGTCCAATTCAAGGTGCTGGTTTGATCTTAAAACCCTTCATAACATAGAACCAGATTACTTGTGGAACCATCCTCTCCCCGCCTGGTCTGGTAAAGGCCTGCTGTGGGTCCTCGGCAGGTCCCAGGGGGTGGGCCTTCTTTGCCATGGCTTTATGGAATATTCTCTCCCCCCTCCCAAAGTGAAGTTAGCTCCATCCCTGCTGATGTTCAGGGGGGCCCTCGAGACCCGGCTGTGTCACCAGGCCTGGGGGTGCCATGGGACGTGTGAAATATTACAATGGCTTCATCACTGTGGCTGATACTGGCTCTCGCTTATGCTGTATGGTTTCTTAAAATAATGACTGTGTTAAATTTTAACAATGACTGACTTTTTTTACATTTATTGTTTCTAATCTTGTACACTGTCCAAAATAACTGTTTGTGAGATGGACAGTTATATAAATTTGGTAGGTAAGTAGGTAAGTAAACTAATCAGAGCAGACAGCTAGTTGCCTTTCAGTAGATGCTGGAGGGGAGGGCAAACCGAACGGGATGGCAAAATACAGGAGGAGGATGGGTCCATGGCAGAGTTAATTACATCTGGGTGAAAAGGAAAAGCAGCTTTTCATCTCCTTTCCTAAAAACTAGATTTATTTATTTAATTTTATTTATTTAAAAGATTTGTATGGCTGCTCATCTAAAGCAACTCTGAGCAGCTCCCAACAACAATTGCATGGTGTAAAGGCCTTCCTTTGTATGGACCAGCTGATGTCTTTCGTTGTGAAATGTGTGTGTTCAAAAGCACAAATTAATTAAGGGTGATGATGATAATTGCCTAGAATGAAAAAGAGGGGAGTGAATGTCTTGTGGGCGGCTGATTTATTATTTATTTATTTATTTATTAATTTGATTTATATACCGCCCTTCTCCCGAAGGACTCAGGGCGGTGCACAGCATATTAAAAACAAATAACAATACAATACATAAATAAATACCAAAAATAAAAAAACCCCTCTAAGACCAAATTAAAAGCCAAATATTGGTAGCTGTGTCGTAATTAAAATTGTATTAAAAATCGTCCCTAACTAAAATCNGGTGTCACATGGGAGTAACGAGTCCCTCCCATCACCGCCCGCGCGGCCGCATTCTGGACCAGTTGTAGTCTCCGGGTGCTCCTCAAAGGGAGTCCCATGTAGAGAGCATTACAGTAGTCCAGGCGGGAGGTGACGAGAGCTTGAGTGACTGTGCGCAAGGCGTCCCGGTCCAGAAAAGGCCGCAACTGGTGGATCAGGCTGATGGTGTACAGCCTGCTCTGCCCCCAACTGAAGAGCCCAGGCAATCAAAGGGATGCCAGTTCAGCTAAAGGGGGATAATTTCTGATTAATTTGGTGGATAGAAAAAAATCTACTCTCCCTTCTTGCTCCAAAAACTCGGAACCGATGCTCTTCCAGGAAACCCTCCACTGTCAAGGCCGCTTCGTGGGAAGAGTTGGCTTTGGCCTGCTCTCTTTTCCAAACCGGAAGGAAACCCTCCCTGTCCCTCCTGATCTGGACTCTGTGGGGAATTTATGTCTGTGGGTCTGAATTCCCCACAGAGAGCATTGTGGCACTCATTGCTCTTTGGCCTTTCGCAGAAATGTTCCTAGACCAGCGTTTCTCAACCTCACCAATCTTCAGATACATGGACTTCAACTCCCAGAATTCCCCAGCCAGCATAGGGAATTCTGGAAGATGAAGTCCGTCCATCTTGAAGTTGTTGAGGCTGAGAAACATCGTCTATTCCACACGTTGGCTGAAGGGGATGAACGAGGAAGAGGGAGGGGGCCTATATTGCTTTCCCCAACTTCAGGAAGTTTCTTGCCATTAAGAAAATTACTTTTCTTTAGACCCAGAAGGCAAATTTGGAAAAAGGAAGTGCAGCTTCTAGTGACCTTTGGCTCCCCCAAATTGAAGTGACTATTTAGATACAGCAGCTGCTAAGCTTTTGGCTCCCCTGTCCCACATTTCCGCTTAGCATACAGCTAGAATGGCAGTTTTCCACAGAACGGGGGAGAGGCAATAGCCCGGCCCTGTTTATTCCCCCAGGCTCCTCCCGCGTTGTAGACGTCCTGTGGCTGGGTTGAGGAAGGAGAGCTCCTGTTAAGGATGCCAGGGCAGCCCTGCTGCATCAGGGCAAGGCCCATCTTGGTCCAGGATTGTGTTTTCCAGTGGCCAGCCTCATGTCTCCGGGGGCTCCACAAGCAGAAGGTGGAGGCCTCTCCCTTTCTTGTTCCCTAGCAAGCTGCCGCCTCTGTCCTTGGAGTAACAATTATGAAATCCATCTCCCATCTTTTAAAGCTGTCCAGGTCATGATTTTTATCACATCTTGTGGCAATGAATTCCACCGGGTCGTTTTGTGCTTCGTGAGAAGTCCATCTGAGTTGGACCTCCAAAGTTCCGTCTAGCTTTTCTGGCTATGCATGTTTAAGAAAATACTGAAAGTGTTATACTCTGCAATGCTGTAATGCCGTGAGCCGTGCTCGGTGGCTTTGGTAGGAATTGAGAACATCCGGTGGACACCAGATTACCTGTTTCTGATGCTGTTTTTTTACAATTTAAGAAATACCTGGTTGCATGGGGGGGGGGGATGCAGTTACTTTGCAAGATGACACAGGCTCTTCTGAGCTCCAGGCTGCCCATTGGCCGGATG